GGCTGCACTAGGCAAGGGGCACGGGCTGAGCTGGGGAGGGGCGCGGGCTGCGCGGACCTGGCAAGCTTCTTAGGGACAAATGACTTGGAAATTATTTTTAAGTGTCCGGTTTGGCTTTGGCTCGGTTCGATCAATACGCGAAGATATAAATCGATCCTTAATCCTATTTAAACTGAATTTCTGATTGACGTAATTAAATTAAATCGAACAAGGCATTATATCATCTTTTAGGACAATAAAATATGATGACTTGAACGAGCAAAATAATAGAATAATAATAAATACTCCAAACTCAATTAATTTAGACTATTAGGCAAAAATAACAATTAATATGATAATAATAATAATAATAATAATAATAATAATAATTATTATTATTATTATTATAATAATCTCCAATAATTCATAATCAAACGGAGCGTTACAGTCTACCCACCTTACAAAGAATTCCGTCCTCGGAATTCGAAAACAAAACAACTAGAAGTAAAGAGAGTACAAGAAGGGGACATTAAATGTGAGGTTCGGGTACTCCCTCCGAATATCGGTCTCCCCCTGCCAAATAGTCTCGCCCTTAACTTGACTACACTCACTGGACACCGACAAATACCCCTCCCAGTCTTTCCCTGATGGACCTTCAGTCCCAACAGGTCACCGGTACCTCCATACAGGTAGGGTTCTGCCTAACACGCAGCTCGTCAGAATATACATATACCTCGAGGTCACGCACACATTTCCTCCATTACGAGGCTAGAACGTGGCATGCATGCTCACAATTTCCGGTGGTGGAGTCAACCATCAGGTTAAACTATTGACTTGGTCGAGAACTCATGATAGACAGACAATCATCACTTATTCTCAAAATATGATACATTTAGAACACACGGTTCTGTTGATACCACTGACAAAGCCTCTCTCCTCCCCGACACGAACAACATCTCGTATACAGTTTAGGAATTATAGGCTAGATACTCAATAACGATTTTCTTCCACTGAGTCGGTCTCCAGCCGAGACTCAAGGCTCCGCCCCACATTAATACAGAACTACTATCTCACATGTCGAGAAAATCTTGCATGTGGCAAAGGAAATTAATCGACCAACCTCACACATCGAGGTTCGTTGATTAGAGAATTCACACAATGCCTAGAAAGATCAACATACACTTTGACCAAAAAACAAATCTGGTTCGAAGAGCTCAAAAAGGACAAGGTCGGACTGGGTTTAATGAACTGTCACCCGAGAGGTGACACACACTCTAGCGCTGCATATGCGGGTCTCTGGAACGCGTGCATGTACCCACTCGAATACCAGCTACAAGGTCAAGGTTTGGCCGTACACGCTGACCTGGGGAGTTTGGCGTTCGGTGATGGCGGCGGCAACTCTTGTGCGAGTCAACGGTCGGCCACTGCGGTTGGGCTCACGTCTCTCAGCACGGGCGTTCGGGCTCGGCCACCACTTCGCGTGGCTACACCCAGTTAGGTTCGGCGCTGGGTTCGAGGCACATACCAGAAATTCAATTATTGGGTTTCACAATTTCTTAAGTACTCCGACAGGCAAAGGGTTTGACAACAACAATTTCCCCAAAAGGAATCAAACATTGGCATCACTGCCAGGAAAAATCCTAACTCGACGGTCAATGTCGAACAAAAGCATGGTTAGCTCGTTTGACTCTTCCGACTAACAATGTCGGCCGTCACGACAGCTTTTACTCAGGTAGCTAATCGAGTCGGCAGTCCTAAACGAGTTCAACCTTACATACAGCCTATAGTTCTCCACACTTCGAGATATTAGCGTGAAGCTCCTCTCGTACATGTTACCAGTCAACATTGATATAACAACAATCAAATTAATTCACATAAGGCACATAAGCATGCATATCGAAGGTAACACTTATTTTCGAAAACATAACTCATGCGATATAACTGAACCACATAGTCTAAGATGAATATAAATCCTAAGACATGCGACTACAATTCTCATTTAAATCATACAAGCATACAAGGTCGTTCGATCACATATATTTCAGCAAACATATAAATCATGACCACAATTCATAGCAAGAAATTGTCAACTTACAGGGTTTTAGAAAATTGAAAATTTTATAAGCTACAGGCACCCCAAATAACACGATTTAAGACTCAAGTTAAGTCTAAGGCATGTATGTACAATATTTATTTAGATCATCGAAACAGATAAGGTCATTAAGATAGTGTAAAAGAAATTAACATTTAGGAATCATTTCTGCCATCATTACCAACTCATCTCGTGTATATTCTAGATAGATTTAACATAAATCGAGCCACAGTCATCACATAAGCATGAACCTTATCTTATTAGAAAGCTAACAAAAAAAAAACAACAAACCTGTAACTTTCTCGTTGATCTTTTAAGCCCAAAAATAACTTTAAAACCGAGTTTAATCATAAAACACTTGGGTCAAGAAATCTACCAACAAAACTATTTATAATTACAGCAGGTCACTAAATCAGGAATATCTCATGCCACAAAACTCCGAATCATGCAAGCTCAAAACCTACAGAAACTACACTTAAATTGCTACAAGTTCCAAGAAGGGCATCTTTACAAATAATCACGGTAAGGGCCTCATTTCAGAGCATACATTTCAATTGTAAACACAACCACTGTTTTAAAAAATTCTGGGCATAACTCCATCTTTGATAAATCATATAAAATCAACTAAAACACCAAATTGCAAGATTTTAACTTCCAGAGAAAGCTTATAACATATGCTACAAGTTTTATGTTGGTCATATTTTCACATAGTCACATTAATATTGTCAAAAATAACCCAACATCGTGATTCACAATTCTGCCTGAAATTCCAAAAACTGCTCGCAGTTACAACTTCAAAAAATTCAAAATAAATTCAATTCAACTCCGAATTATGAAATTTCAAACTCACAGAAACCTAACTCAAGGCACTACAAAATTCATGCAGAACGCTTAACCAGAAACAACTTTTTGGCTACGATAATTTGAGCACAAACAGAGGTTATAACGAGAAGTTCTCATACGATTTTCAGCACAAAAACATAATTTCATGTACATAGCATCAGGGGACACATGTAATCACAATATACACCTCATGTACCCGCGTATACAATATAAGAGAGTCAGCCCTAACATGATTTTTAACACAAATTCACATAAACTCATACGATCACCACATAACACGTTTTAAAGAATCCCAGTCGGGCAATAATCGTCAAGTTCAATCATATAAGCATGCCTTTCATAACATCAACTTTAACATCTCGAGTCTTATAGAGCCTCAACATCAGGCATAAGTACAAATTCATACCTTTTTGTAACACCCCACTTTGATTTAAAGAAATTCCGGACTTTCCAAAAGACAGTATAAAATTTTCGAGATCATTTTCGAAATTTAATGGGTATTGAACAAAATTTTCATAACCCAAGTCTTATCTGGGCCTACGGGGATTCATTACCCGATTTTCACAAATGGTTTTCATTAACCAAAACACATCACGAGGCATAATTCTCAACACGAATATATAACCAAAACATAATACCCAACATCAGGGTTCCATAAATTTTCCAAAAACAAGCAAGTCATAAGTTTTGGAAGATGGTTTAAACAAGTCTCAACATAAAGGTTCATAAAGCCTTATTTATTCAAACAGAAGCAATTACATGCATAAATAAATGACCGACCAACTCGCCTCTTCTCGTCATCCAGCTCCTGCTCAACCTGCATCGGTGAAGACCAGGTGGGGATGAGCACAAGATGAAAAGCGTGCTCACCACTATACACATATATCACAATATAATAATGAAGAGAAGGTATGGTTAGAGTATGAACATAAAACAATTACTCTGTCACGTCTCCTAATCACATCACAACATAATACCCACGTGTACACATATTTCATTAGCCAAGAAAAGGGGATTCATTACCCTAACTCATGGGGGTACGTGCTATACGACAAGGCCCGACCTTTCATTAGGTCTTACGGAGACTTACCTCACAGGTAACCGTATTACATCGATGGGGACAACCGTACCGACGGCCGAATCGGCTCACACCGATAGGCTACATGGTTTACATACATACTAAAATCATACCAAGTCAACATTATAGTAAACACATACGGCATAGCAAATTTTAGATTAAAACCCACCTGGTACAGCAAAGGAAAATGGCACACAATCGGGAGCAGGCAGCAAGCACGGCTTGTCAAACACCTACAACAATTATATACTAAGATCAACACCTACTTGACCTTAGAGAACAATCACAAGCATACATTGGTCGAACTTGATTCAACCAAGTATTTCGTGAAGTTCCATGGACATTGGAACACTTGGATTCTATACTTAAACTTGACTAGAATGCATATAAACACCATGCATAGACTTAGCACGTAAAACAAAGTCAAACAGGTCAAAGGCACACATAAGGGTTCGGCAAAAATTATAAAGAAAGCTTGGATCGGGCCTCGGGCTGCTCGCTGGCACGGTCGTGCATGGCTGGGCACTGTTGGGACGCACATGGGCGTTGTCGGGGCACTGGCCACGGCGCTGGGGCGCTGTGATGAGAACACGGCAAGAAGGCTGAAGAATGAGGCGAGCCGCGCTTATCATGCACGACAGAGGTTAAGCCGCCGGGCTGCCGAGGCCCAACTCGTTAGCGGGCATGCGCTCGTGAGCGGTGACGCGCGCAAGAATTTTGACCAAGGACGCGATAGCGCGAGTACGGCCGAAGGAATTCACGCACGAGCACACCTAACCACACAAGGAATAGGCGATACAAATGACGGGGCGCGGGAGTTCGGCACGCGCACAATGCGACTAGGGTTGGGCGACGGAAAGCGGATTCAATAGATTAGAATCCTTTTCTTTCCTTAATTCCTAGTATGGTAGGATATCTTATGTTTTATTGCTTTCCTAGTTTAAGTAGATTAGCCTTAGTAGAATAAGATTAGATCTTTATTTTGAGTCTTATAAATAGGCGCAAGCATTGTTACTTAGGATATTATTGATTCTTCTTAATACAAAAAATCCAAAATTTTGTTCAAACACTTTGCGTAGATTTCCTTGAATTCTACTGCAATTTTACTTGTTTCGAAGGACTGTGGACGCAGATCTTCGAGACCCTATCTCGATTTAAGGCACTCGCGTGGCTTGTCGAAAGGCCGAACACACGATCTTCATCACGCTGTGCGTGCGCTGGGGCGCTGTGATGAAGGATCGGGTGTTGCGTTCCCTTGACTTGTCTCGATCACGGCTTCGCCACGGCCTTGCTCTCGACGATAGGTGTGATCGACTCGGTTATTAGCCTAACTCTCTCACGATACTTGAGTTCACTCGGGTATTAGCCTCGCTACACTCTCGAAATAGATCGGGTCTTAGCCTCTCTAAATCGTTGAACTGGCTCGGGTCTTAGCCTCACCAATTCGATTGCATGATCGAATCTCACGACTCTAACACACGGTTTCGAACAAACGTTCTTTTCTATTTCATCATTCTTGGACATGAAAAACAATGTAGGAACATCCCTATTTATAGATCCTAATTACTACTAATTCTAATCTACCTAGGAAACATATTAAAGCAATAAAATATTAACTTCCTAACATTCTAGATACTATTGTGCAAGAAGGAAACAATATATTCTAGAGTCCTAAATTGAGTAGATCTTGATCTTGCTTGGCTTGCACTCCAAACAATTCCAAACCCTTGCTCCCATGTAATTCGGCCGCCTATCGCACGCCCGCCGCCCTAACTGCCTTTGTGCGTGCGCCGACCTTTCGCATGCCTAGTCCTCGGCGGACTCGGTTCCTTGCGCGCGCGCACTACACGCGTGACTCCCCGCGCGCGCTCCCTGTGTGCCGTACATCTCCCGCGCGTGCTCCTCGCCATACGGCACTCCTAAGCCCTCAAGGTTTAGGCCTTGCGCATGTGTGCCCCAATTGCAACCCTCGGCCTGCGTCGCGCGCTCGTCCCCTATCTCGTGCGCGTGTTCCTCCCGCATGCCTAAGCCTCCAAGGCTTAGGTCCCCGCCCGCGTTCGGAGTCCACTCGTGCGTCCATGCGCGCGCCCCTTCCTCGCTTCCCAGGCCCCGCGCGTCCTGGCCACCGTCCGCGTACCAATCGCCTACGGCGCACCGTCGTGCACCCGCGGCATGGCCCGTACCGCTCACTCCCGCGGACCGCTCATTCGCGCGTCTATCGCGCCCCGCGGTTTCCTCGCCGAACGCCAGCGCGTCCCAGTCGACGTCCGCCACTTGCTCGCTTACCGTGCATCTCCGCACATCGTCCTGTTCCGTCCATCCGCGCGCATCATGGGCCGATGCGCGCCATCCGCCCATTAGCCGATCGCCGCCCTCATCGACGCCGACTGTCTCCGATCGTTCGCCCGATGGCCACAGGTCCCACCCATCCAACCTAGCACAATATCCTGCACGCCATTCCCATCCATCTTCCATCCTTTTCTTACCTCGCCTTCTAGCCTCCGATCGCCAAGCCCGTCTCTTCCTCGTACAAGGCTTGCACCAACAGTAGGCTTCCTTAGCCTTTGCCTTGCATCTCCTTCGGGCTCGTTTGGTCCTGTGCTTCTTAGGCTTAAGCTTAGCCTGTGGACCACACCCTTTCGGCCAGTCCCTCTTGCATGATGGTCGATAAATCGGGCTTCATGGCTCCTCCAACATGTTTTCCAGCCATATGTCGAGACCATCGTCCTCTTCCTCGTCGGACTCGCCTGGGTTGATGACCACTTCCGTATCATTCCCCTCCTCTTCAAGACTTTCCTTGTCCTCAAGGATTAGAAAATTAAGCGCACCATCATTTTCACGGTTTAGAACTTCACCCTCCATTGCTCCTCGGCCTTCTACGAGTTGTCGCTCGTATTCTTCTCGATTTCTTCGTTCATAGAGCTCGTCTAAATATGTGCTCTCCCATGGGGTAAGTTCTCTCTCCAAACTCTCCAATAGTTCGATATCTTCCCAATCCATCTCGTCCATTGGTTCATAATACATTTTTTTTTTAAGACTCTATAAAAAATAATTCAACAAAGTCAAACCAAAAAGAAAGAAAAACAAAAGAAATTCGACCCCTTCAATAAAAGGTAATAACCGAAAAAATCAAACAAAAGGACTAGATGACACTTTTTTTTTTTTTGATACTATCGAATTTTCGAAAATTTGGGAACAAAAATTCAAAAAAAATTCGAACACCAAGACTCAAAAAAAAATCGAACAAAAGAAAAAGAATGGGATAGAAAAAGTTCACGAACACCCAATCAATCACTCTCAACGAAAGCACCAATGATGAAGGATCGGGTGTTGCGTTCCCTTGACTTGTCTCGATCACGGCTTCGCCACGGCCTTGCTCTCGACGATAGGTGTGATCGACTCGGTTATTAGCCTAACTCTCTCACGATACTTGATTTCACTCGGGTATTAGCCTCGCTACACTCTCGAAATAGATCGGGTCTTAGCCTCTCTAATCGTTAAACTGGCTCGGGTCTTAGCCTCACCAATTCGATTGCATGATCGAATCTCACGACTCTAACACACGATTTTGAACAAACGTTCTTTTCTATTTCATCATTCTTGGACATGAAAAACAATGAGAGAACATCCCTATTTATAGATCCTAATTACTACTAATTCTAATCTACATAGGAAACATATTAAAGCAATAAAATATTAACTTCCTAACATTCTAGATACTATTGTGCAAGAAGGAAACAATATATTCTAGAGTCCTAAATTGACTAGATCTTGATCTTGCTTGGCTTGCACTCCAAACAATTCCAAACCCTTGCTCCCATGTAATTCGGCCGCCTATCGCACGCCCGCCGCCCTAACTGCCTTTGTGCGTGCGCCGACCTTTCGCACGCCTAGTCCTCGGCGGACTCGGTTACTTGCGCGCGCGCACTACACGCGTGACTCCCCGCGCGCGCTCTCTGTGTGTCGTACATCTCCCGCGCGTGCTCCTCGCCATACGGCACTCCTAAGCCCGCAAGGTTTAGGCCTTGCGCATCTGTGCCCCAATCGCAACCCTCGGCCTGCGTAGCGCGCTCGTCCCCTATCTCGTGCGCGTGTTCCTCCCGCATGCCTAAGCATCCGAGGCTTAGGTCCCCGCCCGCGTTCGGAGTCCACTCGCGCGTCCATGCGCGCGCCCCTTCCTCGCTTCCCAGGCCCCGCGCGTCCTGGCCACCGTCCGCGCACCAATCGCCTACGGTGCACCCTCGTGCACCCGCGACATGGCCCGTACCGCTCACTCCCGCGGACCGCTCATTCGCGCGTCTATCGCGCCCCGCGCTTTCCTCGCCGAACGCCAGCGCGTCCCAGTCGACGTCCGCCACTTGCTCGCTTACCGTGCATCTCCGCACATCGTCCTGTTCCGTCCATCCGCGCGCATCATGGGCCGATGCGCGCCATCCGCCCATTAGCCGATCGCCGCCCTCATCGACGCCGACTGTCTCCGATCATTCGCCCGATGGCCACAGGTCCCACACATCCAACCTAGCACAATCTACTGCACGCCATTCCCATCCATCTTCCATCCTTTTCTTACCTCGCCTTCTAGCCTCCGATCGCCAAGCCCGTCTCTTCCTCGTACAAGGCTTGCACCAACAGTAGGCTTCCTTAGCCTTTGCCTTGCGTCTCCTTCAAGCTCGTTTGGTCCTGTGCTTCTTAGGCTTAAGCTTAGCCCGTGGACAACACCCTTTCGGCCAGTCCCTCTTGCATGATGGTTGATAAATCGGGCTTGATGGCTCCTCCAACATGTTTCCAGCCATATGTCGAGACCATCGTCCTCTTCCTCGTCGGACTCGCCTGGGTTGATGACCACTTCCGTATCACGCTGGGGCACTGGGCTGCGGCGTTGTGGCGCTGTGCGTGCGCGCTAGGCGCTGGCGTGCGTTGGGACTGTCTGGCAGCAGTGCACAGGGCCCGGCAGACAAGTAGAGTTTCAAATAGGACCGACCGTTTTCAAAATGTACTCGACCAATATACTTGAATTTTTTTACACATTAAAATAGACCCAAAAGGCATATTTTCACAAAGTTTCAGACCCAACTCTTCAGTTTAACTTAAGCCATCAATTTTTACAGAAAGACGATAAAAATCTGAACTTCCTAGTTCATCAAGCAACCCTTTTGAATTTTCTAATGAAATTTGGACACAACACACATAACATCAGATTACTAACACTCACCAAAAATCACAGCAAAATACCAAGAATTCGATTTCTAATGATTTTTCAAAGTTTCAGCCCAGAACTTCAAATCAACATTTGACATAGCTACAGATCTCATTTCGACTTGAAATTTTTACACCACACACAACACTATAAGAGGGTCATACAGTTCCATTTTCACAACAATCAGACGAATACCCAATTTATAATGATTTTCAAACGTTCAGCAGTAATAACCGATTCAAAATAGCATAAATGGCAAATTAATCAACAATTTCGTCTAAGGCCTTCACCATGAGGCCAGAGACTTCAAATGTTCCAATAATCCACAGCCCTTCACGATTTATGCACAATTTACATACGTACACAAATGACGAACATAACATGAATTTAATCGATTAATTCTCA